GAGAGCATTGAACATACAATGCCAGTTGGGGCCGTTACCACTATGTATTAATATTTTATTATTAAGTACTTACGAAATCCGTGAAAAGAGAAAGGAGCATGGTGAGGGTAAGGCACCTATACAGGCAATGACATAGAAGAAAAATTATATAAAATCAACATAAGAAATGATAAGCTATTATTATAGTTTGTGTGTTGGTGGTGTTGTCGTGTTGATCCTTCTCTACGGACAACCCAACCCACAACTCGGTAGAGTGTTTATACTTTACCAAGAGATCACCCTGGGCGCTTCTGGCTCTTGGAGAGGGGCTCAACGTCACATGTTTAGGGGATGCGGCTCCAACACTTAGCCTTGTTGTCACGTGCACACACCCACTCGAGCCACTGTGACTCCCCACTCTCTCCTTAGGTGATATGATCTCCTCAATCCCCTTTTGACTTATTAGTATTACCTTCTACCCTGTCTGCAGCAGTGGTTCTTGGTTCTTTCTTTCTCTCTCTCTCTCTCTTCTTCTGTACTATTTCATGGGAAGCCTCACTAGGACAAGGGCAAACACCAGCAAATTGGAATACATTTACTGGACAAAGCACATACACAATACATACACACATATAATAATAATGAATCCTATACTCTATACTATTACAATCAGGTTGCACTCCAACACCATCAGAACTCTATCATCAGCTTATCAAGTGGTATCCTATCTCCTGGTTCACCACCTGATACTATCAACCTTCTCAAGTTGATCAAGTCTACATACACTGTTGCACCATCAGCAAGTCGATGGTACTTGTTGATGGTATAAACATGTACGAGGAAAATCAGCATGTGAATGCAATAACATATATCAGTATAAATGTTCCTTGATACACAACAATGATCAATCGATCACCCTATCAGTCCTAGAACACATACATCTGTAGGTAATCCAGCCTACGACTGTAACTCTAAACTTCAGTATAAAACACTCCTTGACATAACAATGCAAACAATCACCCACCTCTCACTGCGTCTTGCACGCTAATGACAACCAAACACTCGATTACCTCCCTACAAGTAATCATTTAGAACTTCCCTTCCACATCTGGAAGTTCACTACCCTGATATCTTCAGGTTCTTCCAGGTTTAACTACCAGGATCCTCTGCAGCTCCTCCAGGCTGCTACCATGAAGTTTTCCTTGAGCAACTACGGTGCTTCACCCTTCTGCTAGGTTCCTCCACAGCTCTCCTGGCTGCTACACCATGAAGTTCCCTCGAGCAACTATGGTGCTTCACCACCTGTACAGAAGCACGTGACACTCCTCTTCACTGCTTCTCCTCACAGCTCGAGGTCCTCTGCTCCACTACCTTGGAGTCTCATCAACTACTCCCTCTGTGCTGGCTTCGAAGTTCTCAGCAACTTCTTCCCCAAAGACAAACCTGCAACCCATCGACACTCCAATAAAAATGTTTCCCCTTTAACACATAAACAAAAATAATCACACAATATGTTTGCCTCAAACCTCTATCTGTCCTCTACATACTGTGAGAGTGGACTCCCCCGTTGGGCGAGTCCATGCTCCACCTCGCCCGGCAGGCCTCCACACTCTCCTCCGCCCCCCTCAGTCAGTTGGCTTCAAGCGGTCGAAGGGAGAGGACGCACTGCTCGTCCCTCCAGCTGTTTCTCTCATCTCCGTCCTCTTATTTAGGCTTCCTGCCTCACCAAAACATTTCTAACTCATCAATAAACATTGCTACTGTCGCTGGGCACACGTCCAACTACAAGCAATCACTATGAACTGGCTTAAATCGTGCTTACCACAGATTGTCTCGTCGAGGGCGCTCCTCCCTCTGACGAAGCCTGGTCAGGGCGCTTCCACAGCCCACGAAAATGTCTCTAGGCGGCTTAATAACCACTCCTTGTCGTCCAGGACTTGCGACCACACGTCCCCAGCTCAATTCCACAGCTAGGACGTCTGCACACTTCTCTTCTCTTGGAGATATATCACTAGGGGTTCCTTCCTGACGGGAGCTCAAACGGAGCGCGGCTTTCCCCCCGCGATGTCTGGCCTCAAGTGAGGTCAAAGCTCTCCAGAAGCGAGCCTCACGCCTCCAGCAAATTATCAACATCTCCTAACCAGTCATTTATCTGTTTTCTTCTTCACTGCCCATAATCTCAAATTGTTATTTAAATCCAACCAACTATTTTACATGTGTTATCACCTCCATATTTCCTGGACCTTCCAGTTAGGTCAGGCTTGTTGAATAACTCTCAAGGGGGAGACTCGTTTCTCCTGTAGGCTGAGATCATAACACTATATAGGAGGTTAAACTCAAAGCAGTAAGAGGAAGGTTCATACCAACACTGAGGGATAAGGTAACTAAGAAGAGCATTAGCCCGTGGTTTGAAACACAGTGCCAGGTGGCAAAGAGTACAGCAAAAGAACATTGACGAAATACAGAAAGAACAGAACAGAAGGAAATCGCCATACATACAGAAGAGCGAAGAACAAATATAGAGAAAAGAAATGATGAGAGTAGTAGGGATGTAGTCTGAGTTTGATATATTCTCCAAATCTAAGGACAAGTTTAAACTGCTACATAACTACATCAGCAAGAAGTTGTCGGTGAAGGACCAGATGATCAGGCTACACATAAGACAGACGAGACACAGAATAACGTGAAATTAATGTGAAACACTTAATAAAAGCTTTCAAAATGTTTTAAGATGGAACATGTTTTGCCACAGGAGCTAAAAGACCTAACAGAACAGAAATCTCGTCATGAAAGCTTATTGAAATGTTAGTGGCACTTGAGGAAGTAAGGAAACAACACTAGGATACAGACGTGACAAAGCCGTAGATTCAGGCATGAAATAGTTTTGAGTACTAACGTGGATACCAATAGTACTCTTCATTCCCCTTTCTGTAATATTTAATTCCTCACTGGAAAAGAGAGTTTCCAGACTGTTCCAAATGAAATAATGCAGTGCCCATATAGAAGAACATAGGGTTTGATGGATGCATGGAATGGACTGTGGTCTTTGTTTATGAGGACGGGCTGCATAGTTACAGAAGCTTTAACGTTTATAAAGCCGATGCTCGACCCTGCATCTGAGTACACACACAAAAATATATATACCATGGGAAACAGAGCTAAGAGCTAAGTCTATACAAGACATGATGGATTATGTCACCCGAAAGTGACAGTCACTTTCAGGAGGCACTAAACATGTCTATCCCGATCCAAAACGAAAACAATAAGAAGCAAAACATCTATGGTTTAATCAAGCATGTATGGAAGCAAAGGAATTAAATATAAGGGCGTGGAGGAACTACCACTCTACCATACTAGCACACTACCATACTAGGGGGAATAGGCACAAGGCACTAAACTACAGGCCAGTGTCCCTAACTTGCATACCATGCAAGCTGATGGAGAATATTGTGCGAAAAAAGCTAGTGGAACATCTGGAGCGAAAGAACTTTGTAACACAACTTCAACATGGGTTCAGGGATGGCAAGTCATTCCTCACAGGATTAATTGAATTCTATAACCAGGCAACAAAAATCAGGCAAAAAAGGGAGGAGTGGGCAGATTGCGTACTTTTGGATCACAAGAAAGCTTTTGACACAGTCCCACAAGGGAGACTAGTACACGAGCTGGAGATGCAGGCAGGAGTGAAAAGGAAGGTACTCCATTGGATAAGGGAATACCTAAGCAACAGAAGACAGTGAGTCACTGTGAGGGGCGAGGTCTCAGACTGGCGGAGTGGCAGTGGAGTCCCACAGGGTTCAGTCCTTGGCCCTATACTATTTCTGATATATGTAAATGATCTCCCCCAGAGGGAATATAGTCATTCCTCTCAATATTTGCTGACGATGCAAAAATTATGATGAGGATTAAATCAGAGAAAGATAATATGAGGCAACAAGAAGATCTAGACCAGTGCTATTCAACCTGGGTGGACAGTCCACCTTATAATGGACGAGATTAAGTGAGGGATGGACAGCTATCTAGGGGTGGACTACTGGGTGGACGAGATCCTAACCTGCACGTGTCTGTATAATATTAAAGAGACTCTCTCTCTCCTATATTTCTTAAAATACACACTACAAATATATATTTACCTATTGTAACATCGAGGTTGCCACCTCGCCTACTCGCAAGACCCCGATAGTACAACCACACAATGGACTGTCTCGCCAGTGGTTGTTACGAATCACGTGACTGAGTTCCCGCTCTCAATTGGCTGAATTGTCAACACTGTCAACTATGGACTCAGGGAGTGGTGACTGGTATATCAGTTATTACTGCAGTGTAACTGTACTTGTTCACTTCACGTTGGACAATGAGCCTGCACCTCTTGTGACTCCTGTGTGTAATACTTATTATTATTATTATTATTATTATTATTATTATTATTATTATTATTATTATTATTATTATTATTATTATTATTATTACTGTTAATATTATTATTATTATTATTATTATTATTATTATTATTATTACTGTTAATATTATTATTATTATTATTATTATTATTATTATTATTATTATTGTTATTATTATTATTATTATTATTATTATTATTATTATTAATATTATTATTATTATTATTATTATTATTATTATTATTATTATTATTATTACAACTTGCCTTTAATACAGTCTTAGGGGAACTAATTGGTTTTGTTATTATATTTCAAAACTATATATATATCAAATATTATTTCCACATTAATTCTGATTAGTTATTTTGTCTTAGTACTGTGTCGTTCCCATTTTCATTAGTTTGGTTTCAGATTTTATATTTGAATTAATATACGTTATTATAACAAAAAAGCTAACTCATCCTTATTTATTTTCCAGATTTCAACATTATTGTTCAACTTTTGCAGGCCATGTCAATTTACAAGTACTTCAAAAAGACAGATGGCAGTCATGAGCCTGCAAAACCTGTTGCAGTTGGTGCAGCAGATGATGCAACAAGAAAAGATGAGTTTTAAATCAAGATGGAGCTGCATCAGGGACTTCATAGAGGGAAAAGTAGGCTTCCAAAAGAGGATACATCTTCATCACATAAAAAGCAACGAAAACAGTGGAATGATAAGCACATTGTATTTGGATTCTTCCGGCCAATACATGAAGCTTCAAATCCCTTCCCACCAGGCAAGTGATTTTTTTGTACTACCACGAAGAGTAATGAAAATGTTGTTCCTTCAAAACTTGCACGGCATTTAAAGACGAAACATCCTGAACATCAAAACAAATCAAAGCAATTTTTGGAGGCAACTTTGGAAGCATACTTGAAGCAAGAGTCGACCTTTAAAAGTCAAGTTAAGCCCGCTGACATGAAAGCACTTACTCTTGCTTCTCTTAAGATGACACACACATCGTTCTTCATATAAAAAAGCCATTCACTGAACTTGAAAATGTTGTACTGTCGTGTCTTGAAGTAGCAGCTGACCTTATACGTGGAGAGAAAGATGCAGTGAAGAAAGTGAAGCAGATTCTGTTGTCTGATACTACAATAAGTCGTCGATCTGTGATGTTAGCAGATGACCTGATGGAACAGCTTGTTAAAAAATTGCGTCTAGCAGCTTCGTTTGGCATTCAACTGGATGAAACCACAGATATAGGAGAAGCACAGCTGATTGTTTACAGTCGGTTTCCTGACTTAGAAGAGAAAACCATTGTTGAACATTATTTGTGCTGCCTCCAGCTGGGCGTAGAAACAACAACAAATAACATTTTTCAGGAACTTCATGCTTTCATTATTGAAGAGGGCATTGACGTGTCAAAATCCAAGTTTGTTGCTACTGATGGTGCAAAAACTATTGGTCGGTGCAATCAATCGCGTTGTGAAGAAAATCCAAGCGGTCTCACCAAATTCTATCGCAATTCACTGCGTGATTCACAGTTTCACAGTGATTTGCCTTAGTGGCAAAGCGACTGAATGAAACTAGAAATGCTAAGGAGAAAAGTGACTTTGAGCTTCTACTTGATGATGTTGTCAAAATGGTTAATCATATCTGTGCACAAGCAAAAAAGCTTTGAATGTTTCGTGAGTTATGGAAGGATATGGAAGCTAATTTGACAAAACTTCTCCTTCATACAGACGTACGTTGGCTATCTCGGGGTAAGGGTCTTCATCGAATGTTTGCATTGAGAGAGCAGCTCTGTGTTTTCTTTACTGAGGAAGCAAACCCCATGGCAGTTAAATGTCAGGATGTGCTCTGACTGGCAAAATTGTCTTACATGGCTTCAATATCGATCATCTGAACAAGCTAAACATTAGTCAGCAAGGCAAAGGTGGGGATATTTTTACAAGTATAGGGAAAATAAATGCATTTAAACAGAAGGTGAAAAAATGGAAAAGTAATGTAGAAAAGAGGTGCTTTTCTCATTTTAAATTACAGTATTTGACTCATTTATGAGGGAATGTAGCTGGGAACATGGTATGCAGGCAACAGAGCAGACACTGGAGGTACATATGTCACACTTAGTTATCAGTCACCTTACTCTAATGCAAGAAAACCTTGACTTCTATTTCCCAGACAGTGAGAATGACCAGCTGACCTCCAACATGTGGATGCTTTATACCTTCACAGATGAAGGAACTGATAATTGTGATGCTCTTTTGGAGCTTCGAGCGGATTATTCACAAAAAGCCGTTTTCAAGACATTTACCCATCCCATGGATTTCTGGGTTACCCTGCTTGATATCCCAGAGTACAAGGATCTAGCTGAGCAGGCAATAGCCATATTTGTACAGATGCCAACATCATATTTGTGTGAGCAAGGGTTCTCCAGTTTAGTTTTGGTGAAGACAAAGAAAAGGAATGCAATTCTGAACTTGGATCCTCTCATGCCAGTTGCACTTGAAAATCGTTTGACACCTCGATTCAACCTAATAGCAGACAAAGTGCAACAGCAGACAAGCAACTGATTTCTTTTTAAAGAATAACTATTTATTTTATTTATTGATACAGTACCAAATATAGCAAACATTGTCTGCAATTTTACTTTAGTGAAGGAAAATGCGTCTAAATGGCATGCTTAATGTTGTCTTGTGTATTTTGAGCCTCTTAGTTTGAGATGAGGTGTGTAAATATATGGACGAATATGTAAAAATAAAATAAAAAATAAGAGAATCTCCTTTTTCTGTTTACATAGTCATAGTCATAGAAATGAGACATGAAAAATAGATTTTAAATATTAAAAACTTGAGATTTTTAATGAGACTTTTTCAAGGTGGGGGGGGTGGACAGCTTCTTCTTAATCACCACTCGGGGGTGGACGATATTAAAAAAGGTTGAAGACCACTGATCTAGACAACCTGAATGAATGGTCCAACTACAGCTACTACAGCTCAACCCAAGAAAATGTAAGGCAATGAAATCACAGTGTGATTTCTGTGTGTAATGATGTAAAGGCGAAGAGGGAGAACGGCCTATTGACATAGCTCGAGTGCACGGGGGAGTTGTGTAAAACCCTGGTTTGTGCCTTGGAGAGGCGGCGGAATCCACTAAGTTCAGTAGAACTTCGGTTTCAACTCTTTTACCCAGTCGTAGCTCAGTCGATTAAGGCAGTGTCTGGGATGCTCCCGGACGCAGGTTCGAATCCTCGTCACGACCCTTGTGGATTTGTTCCTCCCAGAAATATGGAAGACAGCTAATGCAGTCCTAATATACAAAAAGGGTGACAGGCAAGAGGCACTGAACCACAGACAAGTGTCCCTAACTTGTATCCCATGCAAAGTAATGAAGAAGATCTTGAGGAACAACCTAGTAACATATCTGAAGAGAAGGGACTTCGTGACAAACCACTAACATGGGTTCAGGGATGGTAAATCTTAACTCAGAGGTTTAATAGAACTAAATGATCAGGTGACAGAGACTAAGAAAGAAAGACATGGGTGGGCAGATTGTATTTTATCTGACTGTCGGAAAGACTTTGATACAGTACCTCATAAGAGGCTGGTGCATAAGTTGGAGAAACAGGCAAGAGTAACTGGAAAGGTGCTCCAGTGGATAAAGGAGTACCTAAGCATTAGGAAGCAGAGAGTTACTGTGAAAGGTGAGACTTATGAATGGTGTGATGTCACAAACAGATTCCCACAGAGTTAAACTTTCATACCTATACTGTTTCTGATATACGTAAGATGATCTCCCAGAGGGTATAGACTCATTCCTCTCAATGTTTGCTGATGATGACAAAATTATGAGAAGGATTAAGACGGAGGAGGACAGCATGAGGCTACAAGACGACCTGGACAAACTGAAGGAATGGTCCAACAAATGGCTATTAGAGTTTAACCCGAGCAAATGTAAATGATGATATGTGTAAGGAGCAGAAGGCCAGATTTGGGAGGCGAAATTTTTCAAGAATCAGGGAGAGAGAGACCTGAGGGTAGATGTCTCGCCAGACATGTCCCCTGAAGAATATCATCTGCGGCATATGACCAACATAAGAATTGCCTTTAGAAGTTTGGGTAAGGAATAATTTAGAACCTTATATACCACATATGTAAGACCAATCGTAAACTATGCAGCTCCATCGTGAAGTCCGTATGTAGTCAAACACAAGATTAAATTGGAGATGGTTCAAAGTTTTGCCACCAGACTAGTGCCAGAGCTGAGGGGTATGAGTTGCGAGTAGACTAGGGGAACTAAACCTTACGTCCCCGGGAAGAAAAAAGAGTTAGGAGAAGACATGATGACCGCATTCAAGATTCTCAGAGGAATGAATACGGTAGATTTATTTAATCGGTAGATTTAAGACAGTTTATTTAACACAGGTGGTACACGCACAAGGGGACACAGGTGGAAACCGAATACCCAAATGAGCCACTGAGACATTAGAAAGAACTTTCTTGTGTGTCAGGATAGTTAACAAACTAGGTGATTACACACAGAGAAGAACAACGAGCCATTATATTACGGCCGGGTGCTGAGATCACGCGGGCAGGTGTCATCGTTGCGTGTAGTGTGGTTCAGTGTCTTGATAACACCCACGCACTCTACTCTGCTCTCACACCTGTTACCATGTTAACACTTGTCACTAAGTGTACTCTGCCCGCACACCTGTTACCATGTTAACACCTGTTACTGACTCTTCCTTCACGTGCGCACTGGGAGACTCGAACCGCTGACCTTACTAGAGTGAGGCGGAAGTTCTACCACTGTATTACCAGACTATCCATAATAGGAAAGACTTCAAAGGCAACCAACTGCTGCCCAACTGAAATTTATAGGAGGGGCTATGTACACCTACTGGCTGACCAGAAACTTACCACGTAAGCTTTTATAGAGCGAGTGGTGATCACTGCTCCGAGGGTGAGAGCCAGAGGTGTTCAGGACCTGATCGGTGTAGTACTCTCTAGGACGCTGGTGAGAGGCAGAGGTGTTCAGGACCTGGTCGGTGCAGCACTCTCCAGGACGCTGGTGAGAGCCAGAGGTGTTCAGGAACTGGTCGGTACAGGACTCTCCAGGACGCTGGTGTGAGCCAGAGGTGTCCAGGACCTGGTCGGTGCAGCACTCTCCAGGACGCTGGTGTGAGCCAGAGGTGTTCAGGACCTGGTCGGTGTAGCTCTCTCCAGGACGCTGGTGAGAGCCAGAGGTGTTCAGGACCTGGTCGGTACAGGACTCTCCAGGACGCTGGTGTGAGCCAGAGGTGTCCAGGACCTGGTCGGTGCAGCACTCTCCAGGACGCTGGTGTGAGCCAGAGGTGTTCAGGACCTGGTCGGTGTAGCTCTCTCCAGGACGCTGGTGTGAGCCAGAGGTGTTCAGGACCTGGTCGGTGCAGCACTCTCCAGGACGCTGGTGTGAGCCAGAGGTGTTCAGGACCTGGTCGGTGCAGCACTCTCCAGGACGCTGGTGTGAGCCAGAGGTGTTCAGGACCTGGTCGGTGCAGCACTCTCCAGGACGCTGGTGTGAGTCAGAGGTGTTCAGGACCTGGTCGGTGCAGCACTCTCCAGGACGCTGGTGTGAGCCAGAGGTGTTCAGGACCTGGTCGGTGCAGCACTCTCCAGGACGCTGGTGTGAGCCAGAGGTGTTCAGGACCTGGTCGGTGCTGGACTCTCCAGGACGCTGGTGTGAGCCAGAGGTGTTCAGGACCTGGTCGGTGCTGCACTCTCCAGGACGCTGGTGTGAGCCAGGTGCCCAGGACCTGGTCGGTGCTGCACTCTCCAGGACGCTAGTGTGAGCCAGGTGCCCAGGACCTGGTCGGTGCTGCACTCTCCAGGACGCTGGTGTGAGCCAGGTGCCCAGGACCTGGTCGGTGCTGCACTCTCCAGGACGCTGGTGTGAGCCAGGTGCCCAGGACCTGGTCGGTGCTGCACTCTCCAGGACGCTAGTGTGAGCCAGAGGTGTTCAGGACCTGGTCGGTGCTGCACTCTCCAGGACGCTGGTGTGAGCCAGGTGCCCAAGACCTGGTCGGTGCTGCACTCTCCAGGACGCTGGTGTGAGCCAGGTGCCCAGGACCTGGTCGGTGCAGCACTCTCCAGGACGCTGGTGTGAGCCAGGTGTCCAGGACCTGGTCGGTGCAGCACTCTCCAGGACGCTGGTGTGAGCCAGGTGCCCAGGACCTGGTCGGTGCAGCACTCTCCAGGACGCTGGTGTGAGCCAGGTGCCCAAGACCTGGTCGGTGCAGCACTCTCCAGGACGCTGGTGTGAGCCAGGTGTCCAGGACCTGGTCGATGCAGCACTCTCCAGGACGCTGGTGTGAGCCAGGTGCCCAGGACCTGGTCGGTGCAGCACTCTCCAGGACGCTGGTGTGAGCCAGGTGTCCAGGACCTGGCCGATGCAGCACTCTCCAGGACGCTGGTGTGAGCCAGGTGCCCAGGACCTGGTCGGTGCAGCACTCTCCAGGACGCTGGTGTGAGCCAGGTGTCCAGGACCTGGTCGGTGCAGCACTCTCCAGGACGCTGGTGTGAGCCAGGTGCCCAGGTCCTGGTCGGTGCAGCACTCTCCAGGACGCTGGTGTGAGCCAGGTGCCCAGGTCCTGGTCGGTGCTGCACTCTCCAGGACGCTGGTGTGAGCCAGGTGTCCAGGACCTGGTCGGTGCAGCACTCTCCAGGACGCTGGTGTGAGCCAGGTGTCCAGGTCCTGGTCGGTGCAGCACTCTCCAGGACGCTGGTGTGATCCAGGTGCCCAGGTCCTGGTCGGTGCTGCACTCTCCAGGACGCTGGTGTGAGCCAGGTGCCCAGGTCCTGGTCGGTGCTGCACTCTCCAGGACGCTGGTGTGAGCCAGGTGTCCAGGACCTGGTCGATGCAGCACTCTCCAGGACGCTGGTGTGAGCCAGGTGCCCAGGACCTGGTCGGTGCAGGACTCTCCGGGATGCAGGACAGTGTTCCAGACGACACTCACCGCCCTTCCCTCACAGTACGTCCACCGTGTTTATGCTGAATGTTAATCAGCTGAATGTCAGTCCAGTATATATATCAAGGGCAGAGACAAGTCAAGATAATAATTGTTCGTTTAAAACATTTACTAAAATAGCTATAATGACAAAGTACAATCACTATAAAAAGCTTCAAAAAGTAAAATTCATGAGCACTTTAAGAGCAGTTGTAAAAGGCGACTATTGCAACTGAACACTAGAATAACTTTACTGCATGTCACTGCTCAAGACACAGTAATCTTAATAAATACACTGCCAATATTTTTAGAGCTTCGTCAATTAAACTTCACAGAATTCATAGACACGCACTCACAATATATATTTTATATATACATATAATATATGTAATTATATGTACGGCCAGGTGGGCGCCCGCCGATGTCGCAGGTCACAACAGCATCTCTCAGCCAAGAGGAGCCAACAATAAACAGCAGAGAAGGCACATGCCCAGAGAGTGAGTGTGTGGTATCTCAAGCATAATGTGGATGTGAGCAAACATTCCCACGACGGAACTCAATGTGCGGGTACGTGGCGCCCTCCCAAAG